TTTGGGCCTGTGGCCTGCTGGTCAGGCTCCCCTCCTAGATGAGGTGTGGTGGCGGCTGCCATGACGTTTTTCCTCTGGCGTGGTGTCCAGGCCCCATCAAATAAGTGTGTGGTCACCATTTCTGGAAATAACCAGTCCTGTTTCCTAAGCCGAACAGGAGTTGAAAGCCTGCTTGTTCTCTCTGAGTTGGACCTGAGCACCCCACACATCCCTCCCTGGCCCCCGCCTCCCCATTTGTCAGAAAGCCTGGGAGCTGCCTAAGGTGCAGGTGTCAGACTGAGAGGAGCGAATGTCCCGGGAGAGCAGCTCGGAGGCCAGCGCTGGCCGGGGGCTGCCCAGCAGCTCGTTTCCTCGTCCAGCAGGTGGGCCCACGGCCCTGCCTGTCCTTACGGGGGTGGTGTGGTGAGCACCTGTGGTGACAGATGGAAGCTGGCCTGTTCTTGAATGCTGGGGCTCGCAGTAGAGCCGCTTAGGGTGCTCTCGTGGGTACCAGGCTGAGAGCTGGGCGCTGTCACATTAACAGGAGGCCACTGGGTGGGTGGGTGTAGTCACCTCTCTGCAGGAGACTCCACGCAACCAGTGCGGTGCTGAAATGGGTCCCCATGGTGGCGGACCCGTCGCCAGCGAGGCCCCCTGGAAGGCGGGTGTCCAGTGTGGTGCCCCAGCTGCTCTAGAGGACTCATGGGCCACAGGCGCGCCTCCTTAGGGTTGAAGGGGCTGCTCATAGTTGTTGGGTTCTCCAAGAAAAGCCATAATAAGCCGCCAGTCTCCAGAAAGTCTGCCTGAGCCACCCGAGAGGTGGAGCATCTGCTGGGCCTCGGGCGGAGCGCGAGGGGTGCAGAGGGGGCAGAGCCAGGGTGAGAGCTCCCGGACCCTCACGGCCAGGCTGCTGATCCCCTGCCTCCTGCCTCCTAGGGCGTCGCATCATTGCTCAATCCCACGGCTCAATCCCACGGCCGCGCAGCCCCTGGCTGGCCACTCTGCCCTCCCTCCTGTCTGTCCGCAAGGAGGAGTGTCGGTCTGTCCTCGTGCACCTGTCCTGGGTGGGGGAGGACAGCAGGCAGAAGGCTCTGATCCTGCCCTCACCCCCAAATTGTATAGGAAACTGAGGGGATCAAAGGCTCTTGGTGGCGATATGATAGTTGATGGAATAGGGTCTGGTAGGCCGCTGTTTGCGACACGTTAGCTGGAGTTTCCCAGCGAGTCAAGCCATGTTGCGGGGCTTTGGTTTTGACGCTGTTCCTGTCGCCGTGGATGGCCTCACAGTGGCCATCACCACACCGCCCTCCAGGCCACCGAGGCGTGAGCGGCACGTCCCTCCGGGGCCCGCTGGGTTGAAGCCACCTGGCGCTGGCGGCGGCCTCGAGGTTAGGAACTCTGAGGTCCCTGCTCACCCAGCAGCAGGCCACACTCCGCCCCTCCTGCCTCCCAGGTCTGGAGACTCAGAGATATCAGGAAAACCTGAATTTTAGGGACTTTGCTTCTGTAGAATCTTGGGCTTTCGTTAGCTAAACTCGATCGGGGAGCTGAGGGTGCCAGCCCATAGCCGAGCCGTAGCTCCCGCAGGAACCAGACCGGGGTGGTGGGACAGCGGCTGAGCACCCCGTGTGTCTGGCGCGTGGCATGTGGGGCGCGGGCCGGGAGGGAGGGGCCTTGCTTTTGTTTCCATTCCCCAGAGGCGATTATCGTAGACAGCTCCGCGGCCCAAAGCAGGCGGCGCGGGGGTCTGCGGTGGCCCGGTCAGCCTCCGCACGCAGTGGCAGTGTGGTGACTGTCTCCACGCCTGAGGTGGCCCTGTAGGTGACTGTTAAATGCAGCTGAAAAGGCCATTTATCACTCTGAATAAACAGAAATCAGGTTCTGAAACCAGATTGAAGGGAGGAAATTACATCACACTTTCAAATCAGGAAGCACTGGGCAGGACCGCATGAGCTGTGGGACAAAAATGTGCCCCTCCCCCGGGCAGGCTAATGAGCCCTGGTGGCAAGGTGAGCCTGTCTGGGTTACCGCAGCAGCCTGGCTTTTCATTAAACACACGCTCCGCGGCAGGAAACCGGCCTCAAGCTCAGCACGTGATTTCACCCTGACCAGGAGCGCCGCACAGCGGGCTCCCCTTGGCCTCCTGGCCAGCAGCGGGATCTAGAGTTGGCAGCAGAAGCCAGGAGCACTCAGGGCAGGAGGAACAGTGTGTAGAGAAGGCAGCGCCCTACTTGCTGGAAGAAACAGAAACCCACCCAGAAAGCCCCTTGCTCGACCGTTTAGCCCACAACTCCAGCCGGTCTGCACGCTGGCCCTTTCGGAGTTTGGAAATGAGCTTGGTGAGACCTTGACCGGCTGGTGTCCGAGCCGGGGCGTGGGCAGTCTGGACACAGGCTTAGTCTCCCCCACTTCTCCATGACCCTTGTGACGTTCTGGGATGAGATGGGTATTTTCTCAGTGTCCATTTAACGAGCCCCGAGTAGCCATGAGTGACCCCCTGATCTGCAGGGCAAGGTGGCGCCAGGCGGGAGGAGGGGGTGGGCAAGAGCAGCCCAGACCCAGGGGCTGCGTCCGCTCCTGGGAGAGGAGGAGGGTGGGCTTCGGCCACGGGGCAGGAGGAGGTGGAGGAGGCCTTGGGGGGCCACCCCGGGCTGGTGTGGGCAGTGGCTGTGTGGTCTGGCCACTGGCTGTGGAGGTGGGCCCAGGAGAGACCAGCAGCCAGCGAGCTGAGCTGATGTCCCGCAGCCGTAACTGGCTGGGGCTAGGGGAGGGGTCGACTCGTGAAGTGCAAATGCCTGGACCATCCGGGTGGAAAGATAATCGCCAGACAGTGGGAGCCGGGGCGGGGGAGACTGGCCCGCTGTCTGAGGGGCTGGAGGTGGGTCAGGACGCCCGTGGACATGGGAGGGCGCCGAGACACTGCTCTTCAGAATGGCTTTATCGTCCCTGGGCTTCACAAAATGAAGTCATGTCACCCGGAGAACGCGGCCACGTCTGGGGTGGGCACCGGCTGCACGCCGGCACGCGGAGAGCCGGCCACCAGCTGGCGACATTAGGCGGGGGGACGGCAGGGTCCTGCGCCGGGCGGGCCGGGGTGCCAGCAGGAGCGCAGGGCTTTGGCTTTGTGGGGCGCCGAGCCGAGGGCTGCGTCCTGGCCGCCAGGCTCCGTGGGGCACAAGCGCGAAGCCGGCTGCAGCCCGCGGGCGGCCCGCGGTCACCCCGTGCACACAAAGGCCCATTGTGGCCGCAGCCAGCCGCTTCTCAACAATTCTTTCCGTGCTAAAAAATTTTTTCTTAAGAAAGCTAACAAGTAGGTGATGGAAACAATGAATAAAAAATAACTTTCTAGAACAAGTAAGTCATTTTAAGGGGCCAGGGAGCTGTAGGGTCAGCATTCTGAGGCAACGCCGGTCACGCAGGCGGTCTCTGTTGCCAGTGCAGAGGCGGCCGGGGCGCAGGGCGCCCGGCGGGCAGGTGGGTGCCGGCCGCAGCCCGCAGCGCTGTCCTGTTCCGCCCGCTGACCCTGCTCCTTGTCCTCTGCGGCCCGGCCCCGCACGCCGGGGGTCCCAGCAGCGTCACTCAGAAGCGGGTGTCTGCGGCTTCTGAATGGTCTGGCTTGATGTGGGTAAGGTCATGCATTTGCTTCCTTCGGTAACCTCAGAACCAGCCCTCAAAGGGGAAGCCCTCGGCGGCTCCCTGGCCGGCACAGCCGCTCTGCCACAGGAGCCGAGGGGCGCTGGGCTGCCTGACGGGGCGGCCAGCGTGCGGAGACAAGGCGTCGGCGCCGCGCGGGGCCCTCGCGACTCCCGTGGGGGGCTGGGCCGGCGCTCCCCTGGGTGGGGCAGGCGGGGGCTGGGCCGGCGCTCCCCTGGGTGGGGCAGGCGGGGGCTGGGCCGGCGCTCCCCTGGGTGGGGCAGGCGGGGGCTGGGCCGGCGCTCCCCTGGGTGGGGCAGGCGGGGGCTGGGCCGGCGCTCCCCTGGGCCCCTCCGGCGGAGGTGGCAGGCTGTGCCCCGCCACGCAGACGACGTGCGCCCAGCACCCAGCTTCCTCACCTCGGTGTCGCCCTCGGCCCCTGGCTCTGGGAGGGCGCTGTCGCCACCCCGAGGGCCGGCGGGGGCGCACGCTGGCAGCTTGTGTGGTGGCTGAGTGGGCGAGAGCCCTGAGCGCCTAAGCCACCCCGAGTGGCACGAGCTGCCCGGCACTCTGGCCTTGGCGCGAGCCAGAGACTGCAGCGTGAAAGGGGCCCCCGAGCTGACACCCGACGGGAGCTGAAGATCCGCCGGCGGTCACGGACTCCCCGTCTCTGTGGCCTGTGCCTGGCAGCCAGGCGGGGCCTGCATTGCTGGACACTGGCGAGGAGAATGTGGGGAATGTACCTGGAGTTTGTCTGTGAGGGGAGGGGAAGCTGGCCTAGGTCTCAGGCTGAAGCCAGCGATCTTGCAGAACTTGATTTTTATAGGGTGTTGCGACTGGTGTCTTCACATGTAAGTGTGGCTTTCCATGCTTTATGTGATCGGGTAGTGACTGCAGCTGTGTCTACCGAAGGCCAGGCCAGAGAGGGGCCGGGCACGTGCGGCTGTGGGCCGAGCGGGGGCCGTTCACCTCGCGTTTGCTGACACCTTTGGGCCTGAGGCATTTCGACACCAAATACAGTCATTTCTGAATTTTTGAGCTTGGGGAAGAGCAGCTTCATGGTCTGCGCGACCCCGGTGCGGGCCAGTGTGGTGGGTGGAGAGGGGCGTGTCGTGTCCTGGCAAGTGAGTGACCTGCCGTGCCGTGAGGCTCCGCGGGAGGGAGGCCTCTTGCTGGACGCAGGTTAGCCCTCATTTTGCGGAAACATCCCGAACCTCGGGGCTGCAGCACCTTCAGGAGGTGCGAGAATGGGCTCGGCGTCAGGAGGGGCCGCGGACTCCACTCTGCCGCTCAGCTTCTGCCGCGTCTCTGCCACCGGCCACCTGGGCCACCCCCTCTCAGCTGTCCTCTCGCTCTCTCCCCGCCCCCCTCTAGGGCATGAGAGCCACAGGCTGAGCTCACGTCCCTCGGCTTCAGCACTTGGAGACGCCGCAGAGCCGGGCACGATGTCAGTGGCCGGAGTGGCCGCTCAGGAGCTGCGCGCCCCCCTGAAGACTGGGTTCCTCCCGGACGGCCAGACCCTGGGGGGCGTGAAGGCCTGCTGGGGCCGGCCCAGCGAGCTGGAAAAGTAAGGACGGGGCGCGATGCCAGCCGAGCCGCGGGCGTGGGCTGTCACAGCGAGACGGGACTGCGTGCTGGCCACCCGTGACCGCCTCGTCCTTCCTTCCCTTTCAGACACTTTCTACACGTGGACCCGATCGCCGTGGCCTACAGCCTGAACCCCGGCGCCCAGGAGCGTCTGGCGGCTGTCGGTGCGTGTTCCGCGGGGTGGAAGCGGCACCGTGGGAAGGGCGTCTGGGCGTCTCAGCTGGTCTCGCGGGGGCTGGAAGCGGCGCCCGCCGCAGCGGAGCCCTGGTGGCAGCCGAGGACCCCGCCCACGGACTGCGGGGCCTCCGTTCCCCCGCCGGAGCCTCACAGCCGCGGCCTTACGCGGTCTGCGCTTTGTGCGCAGGCTGGGAAGCGCCGGCAGCCAACCGGGCTGGCGGGAGCCAAGTGTGGCCCTGGCCCCGAGGCCCCTTCTCCCGGCCTGCCCCGGGGTAGCGCAGCTCGGGCGAGGCAGGGCCGCTGTTCCTGTGGGTGCCCGGACTCTGCCCGCAGCGTGGACCCCCGGCGCTCGGGCGCGGGGATGGTCGCCGCCCTCACGGGCCCTCCGTCATGCTCCGGCTCGGAGGAAGCCGGGCCCAGGCGGCCGGTGGCGGGGCCAGTCTCGCTTACTCCTCTCTCTCTCCAGGGCACGCCCCCAAGTCTGCACGGGCCAGCGGCAGCCGCTTTGCAGAAAACGGCCCTCAGAAGCCCAGCTTGCCCCCGCTGACCCTCCCCCCGTGTGCGGGCCGGGGCCAGTACGAAGAGGACGCCTGCGCCAGTGGCTTTCAGAGGCTCTCCGTGACCGGGGCCTGCGCGCCCACCCCCCCGCTGACGCCCGTCAGGAGCCCGCTCGGCCTGGGCCCCTGCTCTGGCCCCCCCACGAGCGAGCGGGGCGCCCGGCCCCTGCCGCCGCTGCCCGTCTCCGAGGCCCCCTCTCTGGACGAGACGGACTGTGAGGTGGAGTTCCTGACGAGCTCCGACACAGAGCTGCTCCTCGGGAGCTGCGCGCTGTCAGACTTCAGGTCGGACGGCCCGGGCCGGCGGAGCTTCCGTGGCTGTGGCCAGATCAACTACGCCTATTTCGACACGCCCGTGGCCTCCGCAGCCGACCTCAGCCAGGAGCCCGACCGGGACGGAGGGGCCCCGAGCCCAGCCCCGAGCCCGGCTCAAGCCCACCGGAAACTGAGGCGGTCGCACTCGGGGCCCGCCGGCTCCTTCAGCAAGCCGGCCATCAGGGTGTCCAGCTGTGCGCACCGGACCTCTCCCAGCTCCGACAGAGACAAGCCCGAGGTGCCCCCCAGGGTCCCCATACCCCCCAGGCCAGTGAAGCCGGATTATCGAAGGTGGTCGGCCGAAGTCGCCACCAGCACCTACAGCGATGAGGACAGGCCCCCCAAGGTGCCCCCAAGAGAACCCTTGTCTCGGGGCAACTCCCGCACCCCAAGTCCCAAAAGCCTTCCATCTTACCTCAACGGGGTCATGCCCCCGACACAGAGCTTCGCCCCCGACCCCAAGTACGTCAGCAGCAAAGCTCTGCAGAGACAGAACAGCGAGGGGGCGGCCAGCCGGCCCCCCTGCATCCTGCCCATCATCGAGGACGGGAAGAAAGTCAGCTCCACGCATTACTACCTGCTGCCCGAGCGGCCCGCCTACCTGGACAAATTCGAACAATTTTTTCAGAGAATAGAAGAAACACATCCTGGTACCCCGATCCCGCCATTACCTGCTGTCTGCGGGGTCCTTTCAGCCACCGAGAAGCTCGAGTCCAAGCCGCGGGCGGCCCCGGGCGGCCACGCCAAGCGCAAGCACTCGTCCTACGTGGTCTCGCCCTAGGCCGGGCCGCACGGGGCTGTAGGCGCCGCGGGGCTCGAGCCGCTCTTCGGCTTGACTGAGGTTCACAGGACGTGCCGGGCTGCGGAGGAGAGGAGCCGAACTCTGGCTTAAAGAGAAAGGTCGGGGTGTTGGGGGCGGGTCCCTGGGCCCTCGGCACAGGCGGGGGGCGCAGGGCCGCCTCGGTCCGTGGAGCCACTTCCGGATCCGGGTCGCGGGCCGCAGGGAGACTCGCGACAGACTGGCAGGCGAGCAGGCGGAGGGAAAGTGGTTTAGATCAGAGTTGAAAAGAGATCTGTGCGGGGCGCAGTGGCGGAGGCCGGCCGAGGCCGGGCTGTTGTGTCTGGCGTGCGCGGCCGTTCCCCTCTGGGCTAGGCCCTACCACCGGCCGGCGCCCCACCTCGGCCATGGGGGGGCCATGTCTGGCAACCCGGGTTCACCTGTACTTCTCTCCCCGCCAGTTGAGAAGATCTGCTAGGATCAGCGGGCCCTCCCGGCACCCCGCTGACCCCGCGGGCTGGGGCGCGGCGCGGGCCCGGCCGGAGCCAGCTTGCAGCCCTGTGGCGGAGGCCGCCGTGGGGTGTTTGTGGGTTTTTAAGGCTGTTAATCAACAGGTACGACACAAGCTGGCCTTGTGTTGCCGGTTCCCCTTCAGTATTCCCTGGGAATGTTTGCTTTGTAAGTAAAACACTTCTGACCAAGAGCGCAGTGTCTTAGCGGCAAGAGGGCCGGCGGCAGGTTTGGCCTGTCAAGCGCGGCCTCTGCGCACGGGCTGCTCACAGCTCAAACTGTTGATCTTATTTGAGCTATTTAAAGCTTGTACGTTAGTAGGAACTACATGAAGGTTAAAACACGCTTTAGAACAATGCACTGATTCTGCGTCGTGTGTACATTGTCGGACAAAGGGTTTTGTTCATTTTTGTTGCGTTTGAATATTGTCTTTTCATTTTAATAAAGTTACAGTACTTATTTATGACACCGTCGACACCGTCTTGCCTGAGCTCGAGGTCACTCTCGACTGCTTGCAGAGCGTCGCCACCGCGCCAGGGGAGACGGCTGCAGCCAGGTGATGCCGATGCCCGGGCCGCCCGGGGTGACAAACTTGCAGCAGCTGCTGTGAGTGTTACCGAGACAGTGAAAGCAGGGCGTGACGGGAGCGTGATGTCACTGGAGCTCTTCTCTGCCGCCCCCCGCCCCGGGAAGCCAGCGCTCTGCGGCCGGGCGAGGGCGGGCGTGCCGAGTCGGGTGATCCTGAGGGCGGGGTCCTGTCCCTCCTCAGCCCCCACCGTAGCCAAAGCCAGCGCACTCTTGGCGCCTCCAGTTGGCCAGGGACGGGGACATCATCACTGGAACTCGGGAGCCTGAAACCAGCCTGGCCCCTGCCCCCCCAACACACAGGATGTTTTTCCCTGACCAGCCAACGTGCCTGCCCTGTGCAGAAACCCCGTGCCGGAACACTGGCCTGAGGTGCCACCGCCAGCTCATTGCTCTCCCCCCATGAAGCCAGCCCCAGTCCAGCGTTCCCGTGGTCAGGCAGGGTCAGGCCCAGGCTGGCGCCCCGGCTGCTGCCGAGACCAGGGCAGATGGGGAACAGCAGCCGCTTTGGGCCTTGTCAAGCAGGGTCAGCCGTGGCGACACCGCGGCCAGCGTCACCCTCCACAGGCTACTAGGAAGCCCCTCGCTTCCCGGCGCCGTCCACTGAGACCAGCTCAAACCGAAGCTTCCTCGGGACTGTCTCGGCAGAAAGCAGACGCTGGTCACAGGGCTCGCGTGGACGCCACTCAAAACGTGCGGCTCGGGAAATGCGAGGCCTCCCGGAGAACGTCCGCCGAGCCCACTAACCGCACGCACGACGGGAACCTGGCCTGTTCGTGGGCCGCGGCTTCTCCCTGGGCTCAGGGCGGCCGAGCGCCCTGTGAGAGGGGGCGTGCGCGCGGCCGAGCGCCCTGCTGGCTTCGACGCAATCCATAGCTGACCGAGAGAACCACACCTGCGTGTCTGCCGGCTCAAAAAGAAAACTGCGGGTTTCTCCGGCTATCGAGAGGACGGTTCCTGTAACACCTTTCTGTGAACATGGTGTGAACCGAAGAAGCAATGACCATTCATTTATACTGAATGTTTCAAGCATTCCCAGACTCCAAAATAACCTACTAAGTCATGCAAAACCGCACATCACCTGGAATAACACCTGTCGTAAAAGCGAGAACAGTGTGGGGGATACACAGCCTTGCCAGGTTCTTACTCTGCTGGCAAGAAGGTTGTGGGGCCAGGCTTGGGCTTGGGGCGCCCCTGCCTCGCGAAGGCCCACGCATGCAAAACAAGGTCTGAATACGATTTCCGTGTTTCACCTCTTGTGAAAGCAAAATCCTCTGGATTTCTTTTAGCAAAAACGGGTATTAATGTTGGCCTTTCATAAAAGCAGAGTGGTGAAAAGTGAATTTTCCTGGAGTGGAGGGAGTCGGTGCAGATGAAGCTACCGTCTGCTTTCGTCCTCCATCTCATCACATGGTTTGTAGTTTCGGGGAGCTTCTTCCTTGAGCTCCTAGCATTTCACGCGTCATTTTTTTTTTCACTTTTATTCCAAAATAATTATAGGCTCCCTAGAAGTTTCAGAAATAGTGCAGAGCAGCTCCTGTATCCATTACCCAGATTCCACCCCTGATAGCCTCTTGGGTAATTACAGTCTATTAGCAAGGCCAGGAAATTGACATCACAGCGCTCAGATAGTGTTTTACTTAGAAATTGTGACTGTCAAAATGTCGACTTTCAGTTGCGCCTCCTGTGAAAAGCTAGTCAAGTTTTTAAAATGTCGCCACGTGAACACTCATGGGAAAGGCAGCGGCAGCGATGAAACAGACACCTGCTCCCTTTGCTGGCCCGGTGTCCCGCAAGCTGTGACCCCGCCTGGAGGCCCCCGCTAGCCGGGGCGCCCACCCCACGCGCACCAGCGGAGGGACTCCAAGTCCTGAAGAGTAATTTCGGCTCATGGGAGAATGCACGCGGGTGCGTTTCCTTCGCAGAGACTTAACACAGCCCTGACTCTTCTCCCCGCCTGCAAATCATGCAACTTTTAAGCGAAGCTTTGGGGCTTTATTGGGGGAATGAGAAAAAGGGCCGGAGAAGGAGGAAAATTCAGCCGTGAGGACTTGGCTGCCTGGCCCGGAACCCGCGGCGAAGTGAAATGACAGGACGCGGGCAGCCCCGTGCCACCCGATCGTGTGTGGGTGTGAATTTTCGTGCTTTCTTGTCACTTGAATGTATGGAACTTCCAGATGCTTCTGCTCAGCCGCTGAGGCTGTTCCAGAGCGTGTTTAAACAAGCTCCCCTCGCTTTCATGTTACCTTCCCAGAACCCAGGCGCAGGCACCGCTCCGGCTGTGTCTGGGGAGCCCCCCACCCCCACCGGGCTGCAGGAGGCTGAGGAGGGAGAGGCGGGGAGGAGGCTCTGTGCCTTCAGCTGCCCGCTGGAGCCCTCTCAGGCGCCGGCCGGGGCATCCCGCCCTGGCTTCCAGAAAGCCGCGGGTAGCCGAGCAGGGGCCACCCCAGCTTGGGCGACCCCGAAGCCCGCCCCTGCCCTCCCACTAGGCAGAAAGGCGGCGGGGCGGGGCACGCGGCGGGCGGGGCAGCCCTGGCGGGGGCTGTCGGCCGACCAGACGCTGCCCCTGATGGGCCGGGAGCTGCCGCCGTCCCAGCAGAGAAACGTGTTCGGAGGCGCGTCCGAGGCGCGTCCTAATCGCACGCTTCCTGCCGGTTTCTTCACCGCAGCCC